GCCGATGCAATACGATATATGATATAGCCACTGAGGTGTTGCCGTAATTTAGATCAAACCGGTGAGCAGGGGTTTCAGAGCAGCCAGATCGCCAGACAGCGTGAGCGTGGCAAGCGCCGTCCAACTACCGCTGTAGTAATCGCTGATGCCCTGCGAGTCGACCTTCGTAGCTGCGAGGTCAAGCACGCGCTGCTGGTCGGCCGCTTCTCCGCCGACGAGCAGCGGCAGCAGCGACGAGAACGTCGGCCCGTACATGAAGGCATTGTCCAGCCAGTTAGACATGACCGACGTGACGAAGCATCCCGTGTCCAGGTTGCCGACGCAGTGCGTGGAGAGACAGCTGCTGTCGGTCGTCTTCATCTTCGATATGACCTGGTTGGCGACGCGCGCCGAGTAGGTGGCGGCACCGACACCCTGCGTCGCTTCCTCCGGGAACCAGAAGACATCGAGAGCGACTCGCCAAATGCTGCGCGAAGCCTCAGAGCCGAACTCGGCCGCCGGTGTTCCGCTTCCGGAGCAGATAGTGGATCCACCGCTAGATGGGTCGGACCTAAACGGAACGAACCAGTTGGTCGTCAGTCCGGTCGAAGGACACTGGTTTGCTTCTAAGACGAGGTAGACGGTGTTGATGAGGTCATTCCACTTGGTCCTGTAATCGAGTCCTTCGCTTGCCGTGGCGTATGTGCTGGCGTACTTCAACATGTAATCTCTGAACACGCGGTAGTGCGCCGGTGCGTAGATGGACGGATTCGCGCAGTCCCAACCTCCCCAGCAGCTACCAATTCGCAGAATCCTCTTCGTTCCGGACGTATTTAGTATCGTGTTGAAATCCATGAAAGCCTTGCAGCTCTGGTAAGCCCAGCTCGCGACCTCGTTCCACCACGGGCGTACCTCGCCGACAGATGTCTCCACCATGATGATCATTCCCAATATGCTGTCCGCGTCTCCATCCGCCGCCGCACCGGTGCCAAGCGCTCTCGCGATGTTGTCGGTGAACTTCCAGTTGGGCAGGCAGGGGTTACCCTCGCAGATGTAGCCGCCACCCTGACAACTATCCTGGTCCGTCAGCTCGCACATTCTCTTCCAGCCGCGGAATATCTCGAAGGCGTAATTGAGCGCCATCTCGCGTTCGTCGTCCGACGTCGTGGCGGCAACTGATGCGGCGATGAGAAGTCCGTAGCCCTGACCCTCGGAGACGACACCGTCGGCAGCGCCACCGCTACTGTGGACGGCTCGGGCGCTAGAGGCGCTGTCGACGATCGTAGTGAGGGTGTTCATGAACTCGATCATGCGACTGAAGCTCGACTGGAGGCGTAGATTCGGAAGCAGGATACCGCTGCCGGGCGACGTTGTACCCGACGTCTGCGGTGTCGTTTGCGGTGTCGTTGGCGACGGTGTTCCTGGTGCGCTCCCATCGCAGTTTACCCGTGGGATCTCGCTCATACCTCTGACGTTGAAGCCCCAGAGATTCGTCGAGTACGATGCCAGCTGCACGGTGTACGTCTTGCCATTCTGATAGAGAAATATCGCGTTCCATATCTCGTCCGGCGAAACGGTGGCGTCGTCGCTCGTGAACGTGAATCTCACGACGGCGTTTGGCGTCCAGGGGTCCGTGTAGACCTGGACCGTACAGCCTGTACTCCAGCAGTAATTCTGAATCGAGCAGCCGGCGTTGACTCCTGTCAGTAACGAGCCAGCCAGCACTAGCAAGCATAAAACCGATCTCGTCATTATTACCTGCAACCGAGAACAAACGCAAACACTTTACATTTACATGCGTGTTCATGTACGAAGAAACGGTAAAATTATTAAACTATATATATATATATTATACAGCATATATATATTACTTCAGTGATACCTTATTTATAGAAAACTCCACAGAGGTTCTTCACTTGTGACCGTGTACTATAGTAGTCATCTAGGCTATGTTGTGATCACTCTTAGAACAGCAGACTTTCCCTAAGAACTAGGTATTGATTCCTATAACCCAGTTTTTAGCTTTTATAGTCTTCGGTATGTATATAGTGGCGGCTAATGCGTGTTTTTCGTGATTGTTGTAAGACTCTGTCTATAAGCTAGGCCCGGCTTTGTGTTTGGATTGTTGACGATCACATTACCTGTTATTTTTGATTGATTATCGAAGGCCTAAGCATAGTATATGAAGTTGTTTGATAATGCGAAAACATGGCGATCAATTTGTAGTTACGCTCGTTACTGCGAATATAAGCGCGTGGCAGCTCAAACATATAGTGGCTGGGTCAATATTATTCAGGCTATCTCTAACCGGATCTAATACTTGTGTGATAAGTTACTCACAGCCCGTACTATTATTCCCGAAAACAACTCGTGACAACGAAGGGGTGAAGGTGATGGAAACAAGTCGAAGTAGTGGCAAGGGAACCTGATACCTTGACGTGTTAGCCAACATCCGTTTGAACAACGAGTCAAACAATAATATGAGGTTTAGCACCTGGCTAGTGTGTATGTTGTCATCTTTATCAGGTGAAATTATAGCGTACTAAACAGGACGGTTTACAATACCGCGATACTGATCAGGAATGAGTAGAGGCAGTACATTTACTCGGGTGTAATATTGTGCACAACACTCGGCACTTACGACGCGCATTGGCTCATTTATCGTGGTTGTAAAGACAAAACTAACTCACCTATGCGCTGATATTTGCTATATAGCCTCGTGCACACGCGAATCTGGGAATGAAGTGCACGATATATGTCTTGTGTGTCTATGTGAATTTATAGGTTGATGACACCGGACGTCCGCGCCCCCTCCCCGATTAGCGTGAAATGATGTCGGACTGTATGGCGTGTTTTGCGTGTCCCCGTTGTTGCGACCTCGTCGTATCTCTGTGTCAGCGTTGTGCCGGCAGCTTTACTCTTGTCGCCTTATCTCGCTCTCGTGATCAGGCTACCCTGCTTTAGTTATTACCATAGAAATGATATAGTAGTTAAACTTAGTATCTCTATATATTTCTATGGTTATTACGTGCTTACGTGACACGATATGTTGTGATTGCATTCTGTAGCTACGATCATAAGCGACACGGTGACTCCCGTCAAAAATCCATTGAAATTGCGACAAATTTCCATTGAAATCCATAAAAGTTCGTCAAAATTTCTAACCGTAATTCTACATGGCGTTTGTCCGATTGCTACAAGTAGGTGAGTATGTAGAGAAATATGGAGACCATGTGTGTGTGTGTGTGTGTGTGTGTGTGTGTGTGTGTGTGTGTGTGTGTGT